ATTGGTGTGAAGGATGAAGATGATTAAAGAATATTTACACTACCTTTCATATTCCATATCATTACCCAAATATACGTTTTAAATCTTTTCATGTTTTTTCCAATAAGTAAACATTCTAGATCTTAAGACAGTTAGACAAGTTACCATCAGCCATAAAGAAATAAAATATAAGTTTATATAGCGGCAGGAAATATCTATTTCCCAGTAAAATGATACCCGAACTTTACAGACAAGCCTTTGTTAACCTGTAGGTTTACGTTTAGAAAAAAGTTAAAGTTCATATCTCGCTATTTCTTCCGATCAAAATGAAATCGTTATAAATTTTCTGAAATTAACTGTCTCTTTCTAATTTCATAACAAATGTTGAGAAGAAAAGAAAAGGAAATGACTGTCATCCGTAACCGATGATTTCATTAACTACGAACAAGAAGTGAGAGCAATGGGTACTTAAATTGATCAACCAAACTCATCGCGAAATCCATCTATCCATCTCCTTACGCAATTCATGAAATGAGATTACGAAACAATGCAGGCGGATGATGATAAATGACCAAATATGGGGTGCATGGATATATATATGCCTCGTGGCCGTAGGACAGAACAATGTGCGGTGTTTTCCTCTAATTGAACAATGCAACAACTACCAGCTTGATCGAACTTTTCCATATCAATCTGATGCCTTCCTTTATCTATTCCATTTCATTCTAATCCATTTTTTCTCTCAGAAAAGCAAACATCAATTATAAGGGAAATGGATGACTGTTACATTACCGAGTAGGTAAAGCACAAATCTCCTCTCAAAAAAAAAAATCACACTAGTAAATTAGCTTCTGTTACTCGAAATGCAATTCATCATGTTCACCAAATAGCATCAACTCATCAGAGAAAAAGTAAACTAGAATTATTGCATTTCAATGATTTCGTTCTTAGCACACTTCCAACCTGTCTTGAATGATTTTATATAACGAGTCTAGCTGATTCCAGGTACTCTGTAAATTAATTATACTTTTTCGATAAAGGGAATAAGTGAGCGTGCGGGAGAGATAAAAGGGTAGTAAGTAATGATTTTCATACTTTGAAATTGTTTCTCACCGCTCAACTTAACGCAAATGACAAAATTATGTTCTCCCCCCCCCCCCCTCCCCCCCCTTCGGACAACAATTAGCATAATTCGGAAATAAAATTGTGGTACAGCAACATTGGCAGAGATGGAAATATTTCTTTGTGTAGCATTCTTTTGACAGAACAATCATGTTGTGACCCAGAACTGTCAGAGCATGAGAGGATGATTGTAGAAGAATAACGAGCACAGCTGTCAACAATGCTTTAAGGAATTAAGTTGAGAATCAAAAAAAGAAATGAAATATTAGAGACCTCAGGTGGAACATTCAAAACCAAATAGACAAATTATCTACTACTGCTGAAGATGAAAGACCAGTGGACAACTCATTGATGGAACGACAAATATATGGGCAGAATTAGGACATCGTTTCCTTTTCCTGATTTTTGAGAGAACATTTCTGGACGCCTTATAAACGACAGTTTTAATTAGGTCTCTTTACCTCCGAAAAGACATATGAAATTTCTAAAAATTTCTATCCTGGAAAATTTCCACAAAATTCTCATCTTAAAACAATCTGCTTCCTTCCAGACTAGCAGGACGTTACACCCATCGCATTTATAGGAATATGAACATACGTAAACTGTTCTAGAAGACATAACAACAAAAGACGCAGTGGACGGAAATCGTAGAAAGAGAAATGCAGAAACCTCAACCTGAAATAGTATAAAACGAGTGTTATTGTAAACAAACGAATGAAACGAAAATAAAATTTGATATCTGCGATTGTGAGCAATGACTAGTGAGAATGAAAACTGGTAATCATTTCATTTACATACAACCAAAATTTGTAAGTCTCAAGCAATCTCTCTGGATGTGTTCCAAATGAGATCAATTGTTAAATTTTGGTCTGGTGAGCAGGATTTTATTTATTTTAAAACAAATCAAAGTAATTCCAGTGACTATTTGGAAGTTAGATAGTTTAAGAAAACAAGTTAGCTTCATGCTATGAAAAGATCAAGACTGAGCTCCTTCGGTGGCCTAGAATAATTGAATGGCTACCTGTGGACACATTTCTGGCAATGAATAACAATGGGTAACTTTTTTTAAAGATAGATTTACAGATCAAGTTAACAGCATATTAAGCCACCGTTTTTCATGATCCCAGTCAATCATGATGAAATGACTGTTTCACTAATTGCACTCTCAGAGATGATTTGAAGTGTATAATAGTTACTGTTCTTTTTATATACTAGCGTGATAAAGTAGCAAAGAACCACGATGAAATGGTTTGACAGTACCGTATCTGGCAGCTCTCAAATGTTTATTCATTGGTTGATAGGGGAGTGTGTGCCAGAGGAGGTAGGGAAGAGTAGTTCGTAAGTCGAGAGTCGAGACTAGCTGGCGACGACGTCGTCTGATAGGCAAAATGTTTCGATACAGTGAACAACTGCTGTTTTTATGTAAGGATCAAAGGGAAGCGATAATTTTAACATTTTTTCAGTTGCAAATGGTTAAAAGACGTCTGAACAAAAAGCTTACACAATAAGGTACAAGAACAATGTAAATACAAGGAAACACACTGAATGAACCTTTCTTTTTTATTCTTCACACTCATTTTCAATTTTTCTTAAACTGAACTCAATGTTCTTTTAATACATCTGAAAGGTGTCGGCACCTTTCAGTTTACAATACTGCATTGATTCAACAAAATGCTACTATTTCTAATCGATGATTCTCTGTTAAAAAGCCTTACGTTTGGTTAATAATCCTTTGGCGAAGAACCTTCGAAATTCAATTTATGTTTCTTTTCCAGTACAAACTAAAATGAGTGAAAATGGGATGATTCAAAACTTTCAGGAAGAGAAAATTGATGAGGACAATTATTATGGCATGCTGAAAAGCATAACATGATAACTGTCTACTAAAATAATAATATAATAAGCCTACTTGACGTTGCAAATTTTTCGTAAAAAGAGGAACACGTGTTCCTGAGCTCGAATAAACAGACAACTGGGAGGTAATGATGTGATGATGGAAGATCGATCAGTCAACAAATCGCAAACATCAATTCTAAAGTCATTAACTGAAAGACTTAAGCGTTCGAACCTGTTTGTATTCAATTATTTATACCTGTTACTGCCTCAAGTTAGAAGTGGTGAAAAAGAAAGTAAGGAGGGATGGAACGTTTCTCAAACAAACATCTGCCTCTTACGAGAATAATTTTGAAAGCTGAAGAGAAAACAAGGTGCTACCCTATGCAGATTTCATCTAACTTTCTCCCCCTCAAATTACCTATGCTGTTGATTATCAAGAAATATTTTGGCTTTATGTTTAAAGTTTCATTTTTCTGGTAGGAGTATTAAATGATTAATCTCTTCAAAATTTAATGCCCCACCTATTACTTTAGGTATTTTTTCTCCATTTTCTCTACGTAGGAAAGATTAACAAATGAAAACTGTCTGAAAAGAATTTTTGATAAACATTCATTTCTGGTGGTCCAATCGATACTTGCACGATTCATTTTGAACTCAGCACTGATTTCAAATTTTGCCGTGTGCAGCAATTTGAAGATATAATTTTGAAGACGACGAATTTTAATTTGAAGACGTCATTTTGGTAGTTTGAAGATATCATTTTGAAGACGACAAAATTATTATCTACGACTATTTTTCACTGACACACGTTAGTTTAATGATTTTTATTTCACTGAGGAACAATCCCAAGAAAATAATTGAGGTAGTTTTGGTTCAGTGATGATTATTACTACTTTAGAAGTTTAAGCTTAACAAAAAAAATATGCGAATTATCATTACTTTTGAGCTCCATTTATATGAAAAATGCCTATCTCAGGAATGGTAATGAACAATGAGTGCAATATAGGTTACTCTTTGACGGTCACCTTGATACCATTTCGCTAAAACTCATAAAAAATGATCCGGTCGATTAGATCACAAACATCCATTCCACATGACCACACGCATACACGAATATTGGAACATTATTGAAATCACATTTAAATTGGCATCAAATGAGCCATAAGAAACGTTAGGTATACAACAATTTTTCACACGCGTTTCACATTTTAGAATTAAAAAAGATAAAGTAGGTAGTCCAGGTGATTGGAATGTATTTCTGTCTCCTTGCTATCTTCCCTATACACAAAGTTTCCATTTCGAGTTTGGAGTAATGCTGAAAATTTGAATTATTCGAAGGTGTTCATTCATTTGCTATAAGTGTTTAGTTGAATCATTTAGAAATGCTCACAGATAACATTGCTTGCTTGCTATCCAATATTCAATTATCTTAATCTAAATCTTAAATTTAATAAAAAGATAAGAAGTATTATTTTTAGGTATGTTAGGAGAAAGGAAAATATTCCCTTCATCTTTACCTCAAAAGCTCGATCATTGCGGAAACACTTTTTTTGAATTTTCTGAACTTTCAAGAAAAGTTATGATCTATTTTTTTTTTTAATTTGATTCTATAACAATTTTCAGCAGACTGCTATAATGCTATTTTGGATTATGAGTCCTACATTATATACCATCCGTCGAGAATAACCAGCAATTAAATCAATGAGAATAATTCCAAAACTAGTTAGATCTAAAACTAATGCTACTGCTACCATAAAGATGGACTGTGACTTGAGCATATATTTTAATCATCGAATCATCGAAACTTTTTCATTTCAATGTTATGTTTGCTCGATTTCCAAGACGAGAATATGATAAATCAAGAATATATATATATATATACCTGAACTTTCAAGAAATTTACCATTTAAACAACGGGGCATGAATAGAGACACACACACAGAGAGAGAGAGAGAGAGAGAGAGAGAGAGAGAGAGAGGCAGACGGTTATGTTCTGCAACCACAGCATGCATTTTTCTTCTAAGCGTAAACTCAGATTTCAAGATTTCCAAACAATAAGGAATTCACAAAAGTTGGAAAACTACAAGTTTTCCCCAAAATTCAGTAGAGCGGGGAATCAGATGGATGAGTTTCATTAATAAAACTGTAAGAAATAGGGTGTGGAAAAAATCTAAAAATGTAGTGAATTCTGATTAAAGTGCTACAAATGTGAAAGTGGCGATGAGCGGTATTACCTATATGCTCGTTACTAAGAAGATTCACATTACAATGTATCGATGGAGCGAAGATTCTGTTATCCGTATTCGAACCATCAAAAGGGAATTGATGTGACAAGATATATGTCGACAGTTCGAATGGCATCGCAAGTCAGATGAAAGTGACTTCGTATGGCCAGTTAAAAAACAACAAATTTTTTAATTGCTAAAGAAAATTTGAAAAGCACAACCCGTAAATGGACCATCCGTTGAATTAATATTACATGGAAATCGAAGTTATGCTTTGAAGTCATCAATTTATCATGGGGTAATAACCATATTCGTTGTGCAAGCGTCGCGGTTAAACATAGATAAAAGTGTACTTATACACATACTTTTCTCTTTTCAACAAAAGGAACAGAACAGAAAAGTAAAAAATAAGTGAAAATTTGATAGAAATTTTGAAATGTCAATCAATTTCTGATGAGTTCATGAAGGTATACTGAAAACTGCTGAAATGCTGCAGGGGAGACAATGACGCCGGTGATGATAACGAAACTGAGGTACTTCGTCGCACTTATCAGTCAGCCTGTTCTTTATCAGTAAGCCAAATCTTTCTCATGCACACCCATCATGCTTATATATATATATATATATATATGTAGAATACCAGCTTCCGCATTTCGCTCTCCAAAATCGCTGCCTTTCGAGATCAGTTTTTATGATATCTGGTATTCATATCCTTTTACAGCTACCGAAAAGAAATGTACGTCTAGAAAGATGAAATCAATTTTGAAATAATCAAGTAAAGTAAACCCACCTTTCCCTAATTTTAATTTTCTTTTAATAACATTTTTACTCATTTTTTCGTTTTTCTTTTTTTCATTTTGCATTTATCTCGCACAGAATAAAGAACCTACCAATATTTTACTTCTTCCTTTCGGTCTTCTTGAACTTCTTCCTTGTCCAGTTTTTCGTGCAGTAATTTATTGATTTATCAAGCTACTGGCTTAACTGCAATCATTTCCACTGTAGCTAGTCCACTTTCCTCAGAAGAATCACCACTTTACTCATCGGTTGTATCATTTTCATCGACGTCATTATCGGATTGTCAAATTTTTGTCTTTCTTGTATTCAATTCGATCCGCGATCGAATATTTCTTCTAGTTCCGACGACAAAACCATACGCTATCATCAGACATATTTGTAATAATTAGTTTTGCTCTTGAAAACCCTTGATTTTAAATCAGTCTATTCCTAAGTTCATCACAGTAACACAAAATTATCAACAAATACAAATAATCCTCATCATTCAATTTCAAGCAATATTTGTAAGCGTTTTCCATCAATTATTCAACATAGAATTCAAACAAAAGCAGTCAGCCTGTTTCACAGTACGTATCAGCCTTATCACCACTATTAAACTGTTTTGTAAAATGCCAGAAAATGTTACAATTCACTGAATGTTACAGTTGTTTTTGTATCTATAAGCATACTAACCGTACATGGAATACGACTACTGGATTAGATCATATCCTGCAGTATTCGCTACTTCATCTTATTTCAGTCTTCAGTAAAAAGCCTACATCTATTTGTCTGGACATAACTTGTAAAGTAATAAGTGATAAGAGATACGACATGGAACAACATAAACTAGAAAAAGGTATTATTAGAACAATACTCAATCGCTCTTATTAAATGGTTCTATGAAATATTAGCCTTCACTTGTAAATTATTTGCTATATTTACGTCATTTACAAGCATGACGTTTTTAATCACCAGTTTGACGCAAGAGGCATTAGGAGACTGCAACATTCAAGCTAAACTACAACTCAGTTATTATTAGTTCAAGTAAATAAACTAATTATTACTTGTTATTGACAGCTAACAGTCAGGAGGTCGATAATGGATCACTACAAGAACTTACACCTGCATAGAAAGGTAAATACCTAACACTGGTGGCGAGGTATGTCAAGGTGAAGGGTAAAACAATCTCATAAAATGTGCACACTTTAATCAAGCATTAAATGCTTTAAAGCATTGTAGGACAACACCGTAATAGAATGCTAGTGACTAGTAAGGCCAATGGCCCAATGTCTCTCTATCCTCCACCCTAATCATTAAACTATTCCAGTGGCCATAAACTGATGGGTAACATTTGAGCATTCCTGAGCCTAAATGATGTCTCCGAGTCAGAGGCAGATCCTAGAGGAGATGCAGAGCTGCTATGAAGCAATGACTTAGAAATGACCCATCCATCCATATGTATCTCAGGAAATCCTTACCACTGTCCCTCCTCTCTACATGATCGTCCAATCAATCTGATTGCAAAAAACGCACCAAAAAAACGCTCAGCTGGCCTACTGCCCGACCACCCCTGAAGCAAGCCCCATTTATGGCTATATGAATCGCATGGACTACGTATTTCGGTAAGTCTAAAGGGACATTATGCATAAGCGAGATTGTAGGGACTGCGAATAACAATGTAAGCGTAAACGAGCCTCGGGAATAAGTTGACTGGACTATTTCCTAGACCATAGCCTTACTGAAATAGTAGCCTAACAGTGGAAAATAATTGGTTTTCATTAACTTAGCATCATAATAGTATGCATATGGCCATTAGTATACATTGTCCCTGAATTACTCTCGCAATTCAGCAGAGTAAGCTTCCGAACAAAGTAACGAGACATGACGTGCATGACATGAACCTCTGGTGGTACTAAGGATCTTGGATGATTGTGTCTGTGAATTACCTTGCAGCTCCATATTAACAAGTGAACATCTAAATCTAAAACTCACAACTCTAACTTCTTCAGCTATTACTACCATACCAAACATTTTTTGAAATTTTCTGAGATTATGTGTAATGAAATTATTTTATATTGGACAAATGCATTTCAAGCAAGTGAAAACAGTCTCGTATTGAGAATTTACTGAGAGTCTAAATTTTGATCCTCTTGTTATGAATTTCTCTTTGCGAGGCTGCTGTATCAAGCTTACTGGATGTTATTACAAAAGTTTGAATGGGTGTAATTCTCACAAAGTGAACTGTCAGATGTTAGCTCATCTGCTTGTCACATACGACCGATCAGGAAGGAATTACGCAAAACTGGTCTCGTAATTATGGTACGTACGAATCTCCGGTCATTTAAACATTTTAGAAACTTTAGAATAACCAGGAATGGACAAATATGACAGCAACATGTAAGATTGTGTATTCGCCACCTCTTAAATGTGTTGTCCGCTTCAAAAGGAAATATATGATGAAAATTTGTTGAAATTGATTGTTATCCCTTAAAGAAAATCCGGATTTGAAGTTAATTAACATTTACGAAAGTTAACTTGGAATGTTTTCAAATGAAAGTCAAATTTCCGTCTTTCCAAAACTCAACAGGACAAAGTATTTTTAAATTTTTCTCTGAGTGTGCATGTTGCATATATATATATGTGTGTGTATCATTTTATTAACTGCAAAAAAAAATGTTATTTTTGTTGAAAGACGAACGTCGAAAACATGAAAATAAGCAGTTTTAAGGGGATGGACGATGTAATGGGAACGCGTTTTAAAAACGTTCTATTAACGATGAGTTCAGAAAGAGGTGGAAAAAAAGTTATATCCTTGGGGAACCATCGATGACTCTTTCAAGCTAAAATAATTTATAAAATAAAATGAAACAGAGCAGCTCATGCACATAACGATGTTTATATAACATGACATAAAATTGGTTCAAAGGTAAACAATTAATTGCCAATTAATATGCGCTAGCAGCTTTCCAAGACAAAACGATAGAAAAAGTGAGGATATGATCACAGAGTGTATGTAATTTTTAGGATAATTACTTCGTCTTCTATTCTAGCCTTTTCATAATATCAGAACGTCAATCCAAGTGGTGTAATTACAGGACAAGGTCCCTATTATTAATTCAACTCATGAAGTCCTAAAATTCATACTAAGTACGTCACCATACATGTCATTTAAAGCTATCATGTAATGATTACAGCATTTCAGTACAGTACATTAGACTAGTACTGTTTGACCGAGTATATCACAGTTATCTAAAATTTACTGCTGATCCCAAGAATAATTTACTTATGAAGTGAACGAACAGATTCATACAGATTTTTTTCTTTTTACTTTAAATCATTACAAACCACACTGCCCATTAAAAGTCCTCGCATCGCTCAAAATTAGGTAATAAAAATTTACTCTACTCCAAACAAAATTATTCAAACAAAAAAGCTCTGAACCGGCAATTACATTATTTTTGCAGCTTTTTGAAAGGCGTAAATTCAGTGAAAAAAGGGTACCAGCCAAAAAACAAATTCAGTCAAGAGACCGAAAGAGACAAAAATGAACTGTTGTATTTCGGAATGGTAACTTTAAATTCTTCGAACAAGGATTCCACTCATTTTTCCCGCGTCATATACTGACTACATACTAATAAATGATCTGATCCGATTGTTTGATCGCACTCACTGATAATCAAGTTCTGAGCTATACTACATCGCTTGCTCCACAAATATTCATTTACTTGCACAGAATTCATTCCTATCCATCAAGCTGCTTTCTATGGTGTACCCACCCATTCTGATAAATGGTGATCTATCTATATCAAGTCAATATCAGCCATAAAAATACGAACATTTTACTCGTGGAAAAGAAACGAGAGAAGGAATTACCGATACAAACTCTAGGGAGATTGAAGCACTGAGTGAGGAAATTCTATCAGAAGAGTCTCCTATCTAGTGACAAGCAGGAGGACACACATACCACTAACTAACTCATCGAGCAGCAAATGTCTCCCAGACTAAGCTGTAGCACAACTGCAATGTCTCGACATTATCACTGTCACAACTTCGTCTCTTGAACCTTCCTGTCGGAATGTCCACTTAGGCTATAGTCAGCGATTATTAATAGCAATAATTGATCATAAATAATACACATAAATAAACCAATCAATGATACTATTAAAGAATATTTAACGAGACCACACCTGTATGTATTATTGCGCACTTTTCTTAACTTACTGCGTCAATTACGCGTCTTCTGATCATTCCGGTCTTTGTGTCACGCATACCCACAACCTCAACATCATGTTAGACAATTGAGCATCATTCATCACAGCGAACTGTAAGCTGACTTATATTGACTGTTCTCACCAGAAACAAGCTGGATGGTAAAACGGACAAACAGAGAAAAAACTGTTCTTATGGGGATAGAAACCAGTAACCAGTAAGTCACTAGGGGACCTTTTGCGCATCGGAGTGTGGCAAGGAATTAAGCGCAAATTGTACCACAAGAATGGCGAGTCTCCACTACAGTTCACCGCACTATAATGGTCCACTCTAAAATCCCGTAAAGTGCGTGAGAATTTTGGTGTTGTAGAGTCCTGTATCTCGCTGAAAGTGCGTGAGAGCGTGGAGGAAGTCACGTAAGAGTTTTCCCTTCCTATTTAGAAAATAACACATTTCTCTGCACAAATAGAAATAAAAACTGGACGTTTTAGAAAATTGGACGCCTTATCATAAATGAAAATTATTCCATATTTATTTCCGTTTATTTCCGCAATGACTAAGTGATAAATCGCTGAGATTTGATTATTTAGTGTCAAAAACGGAAGGGAATGAACGTTAGGAAGCAAAGTATAAGTTCAAAGCTTTTTCGGAAACCACAAAATCGATAGTGTATATTTCGGTTTAACTCTTTTTCATGGCTGAAGCTTTAGCCAAACTTTCAGTCTTTTTAGTCAGATCAATGACAAATGAGATCATCAGGAAATTCTTCAGTATTAGAAACTGTTATTACAGAAACCTTCCTATCTAAATTTCCATTTTAATATAAAAAAGTGGTCATTCCAGAAATGCAATACCTGAAATTATAAAAGGAAAATCGGAACACTCATATGTTATGTATTTCCCTACTTTCCCGTGTCACAAATTAATTAGCAACAATTTGATAGTCCAGAATTCCATATTTATGACCGACTTATATTTTCGAGAACATATACTGCCGATGTTTTTTGGACTTCGTAAGTAAAAACAATGAACACAACAGACTTGTGCGACAGCAGTGACATCAATCATTAATCGATACTTATTTTGCATATCCATGGTTTATGGTTGGTCTCGATATAGATTTCAGGAAGTCTCTAACACCGAATTGATAATTTCTATCGATGTCCATTTCTCATACTCAGTTTGGATGCACATATATGACTTACATCCTAACCGCAATTATTAACGTGAGCATTTTCTTTACCACTAATTGTGCGCTAATTTAAATGTTTAGATTAGATAAAAATTGTAAAAGCTAAAATAAGCGTTAATTGATTGTGTACACACATATCAGTAAATGACCAAGCTGCCCCCTATATTCCCTTTTTATAAAATTCGAAATTTCGACTATCTCAGATTTCAACCCTCCCAAGAGCTCATAGTAACATTGTTCTACAACACTGATATTTGAGAAAAAGGAGGTAAAGACGATGAGGCGCAAAAAGAGCAGGTGGTTGATGACCTTGAAAACTAGCTCTTTCGCAGCTGTCACAATATCATTTAATTTAGTATATTTTTTAAAACCATTAGCATTTTTCAGGTCTTTATTATAACTGACACATGAAAATTCTTTTGAGGATTTTCAATTCAAAATTTGATGTAAACAACTTCTCTACAGGCCGTGTTACATCCTTGATGTTGTAGTAGTATCACTTATTTCAAATTTCGAAAAAAAAGGAAAAAATATTTGTAGCTGAGTGCTATAAGTTCAAGTAACACGAACGTGAGGAGCAGGTGGATAGGTGAAATAGTTTCCCTTCATAAGTTATAAACTTCATCAAAGAAAAAACACCGCGTGAATTGCGCCTATTTCTAAATGTGGTATGAGTTACAATTATTAAAGAGAAGTTAACCCAACAATTGAATCAATGTATGGCAGATAACAAGCATTTTAATGAGTTAAGATGACATATTGGAAGGTCAGAATTTCGAACTATTTACTGGTAAGTCAAAGTTTACAGTTGCTTCTTAATAAAAACATCATGTAACAATTTCAATCTCACCCTACTTTCTATAAGGAATTTAACCAAAAAATTAAAATTTTTTTTAGAACCGGAGAAAACAAATATCATAGTTTTTTAACCATTTCTTCTAAACTGTGTTCTTAAATGATTATTTAAAAAATTTAGCAGTTATTTTTTACATTCATACTTTGAAATAAGATATGAACCAAAAGAGCCTGAATTACGAAATTTCTCTATATTATTGTTTGCTTTATTCACTCTCAATTTTGCGATTACAGAATCAACATTTTAACATCAAACAACCTAAATCGACTGAAATTTTTGCGGACGATCTCAAAATTGTTTAGGATATTTCTACAACTGTTTATATTAGATAATTCCTTCTACCAATTTTGCATGCTAAAGCGACTTTTCTCATCAGAAACTTGACTTATATACTTCACAATATCATATAACTCGATAATTTAATAGATAAAGCTGTCTCTAACAAATGAAATTCATTTGCAGTCAAGAAAACATGCAATGACATAAACTGACCTAAACCGCCTAGGTGTGATGTGAAGCATTTCTATTGATGTATGATGGAATTACTAGTAGTGTTATAGAAAGTGTCATACAACAATACTTGATGCCTTGCGCAATTAACAACTTCGAAATTGAAAAATGCTTTAATTTTAAAGCTATAATCTGCAATACTTATCCAAAATAAATTATTAAGGAACAAAAATTTGTCTCAAAAGTCTGGTT